TGTTTATTTTATTCATTTGTATTTCCAAATGGTTGGGAAAATAAGGCTTCAAATATCTGCCATTAATCTTTTTGGATGTATGTATCCATTTAAATTTCTCAAATGGTATGCTCCAAAGGCAGGACTCTATGAATTTGATATGGTCCCTTCCAATTAGGTGACCATTTGCCAAACTTATGGCTTTTAATCCTTATTGGGAGTATTGTCTTCCATACCAAATCACCTTCATCAAAGCCAATGTATTTGACTTTTTTTATTAAGTTTTTGGCTGCTTTTCTTCTTTTGAAAAGAATGCTATTTAATGCCAGAATTTCTAGCTTCATCTATGCTTTCTAATTCCAAGCACATACTCTGGATGGTATTGCTCAAAAGATCTAACTGGTCTTGGCATCTTACCCTCAAAGACTTAACATTAATTTCCATAGGTAACATGCATCATGCCCATATACTAAGTGCATACAGGAGTGACTCCTGTGCTTGACCTTGGGGAAGTTCTATAGCCACAATACTCCAAAATAAGTTAATGCCAATCCCTTGATTGTCTTCCACAACCTTTTGTTTCCTTTTTTCAAGAATTTTTGGGTGATTAGCTTGACTATTGGCTTGTGCATAATAGGGGTGGAATTTAACAAGGCTAATTCCAACTCCCACAAAAGACTTCAACCATTTCCATCGAATACTGTCCGTTATCAACAGTTATAGTCTGTGATACCAATCTATGATTAAATCCTTAATGAATCTAATGACCTTAGTTTGGTCTTACGCTTTTGATGGCTTTGGCTTCGACCCACGTGGTGAATATCAGTGCCACCAAAATGAAACAATGCTGCTTTGAGAAGGTGGGTGTATTTCCCCGATCATGTCCATGGCCATCCTTTAAATGGCAAGGCTTACTACTGCATGCAAGTAGTATGGGCACATGCTTATCGTGCCATGCTTTTCATGCCTAGAACCTTTTGCAATTTCTATGCAGTCTTTAAGGATAGTTGGCCAGCATAGTAGGAATGCCTTCGAAGCAACCATCTCATCTTCACGACCAGCTATAGCACACGATGCCTTCATGAATCCTCAGCCATAGCTTTTTCATGCTTCTTTTGGGCCTAAACATTCCAGCAAAGGCCATCTCCGCCTTTTTGTAGAGAGCATTACCATATATATGTATTGCATATAGATTGCAATTTAATTTTTCTTACTGACCTTTGAAGATGGCCAACAGATACTGCATTATTGGATGCCTCCAATCTTGTTTTGAGGTCATTATGATTTGACTTCCAAGACCAATTCTTTTTATTTAAGGGTGGATTAATTTCTGAGTGTTGTTTAGCTTATTGCCTTTTGAACATTATCCCTTCTTTTGAAATTCGAAGCTTTCTGAGCCAATATTAGCTCTATTATTCAAGAATCTTGAGACATAAGTTAGCATTTGGCTATTTGAAATTGAGAAAGCAAGATGTATGGCAACACATAGTATGGAACATGCTTATACTATGACATTTGAATCCTTTCACTTGTTAACCACCAATTGAGAAATCTCCAAATATGTCAACTGTATGAACTTGTAATCAATAAGAATTCAGTCCACTAATTAAGCTTTCATATTCAGCTGATTATTAAACAAGTAATCTCATCCACCCTGAAACCATGTTGTGGTTTCTATTCCTTGTGGTGACTTTATCACTTACCAATCCCAATTAGGCAATTGGCCTTTGATCATCGACCACATTTGGGCATGGCTCAACACTAGCATACCATGTTCATTATTTCTTGGCTCTTTTCTGTTTGAGATGGATGGTCTGCCAAAAACTTGGCTAAACTGTCCTTTTACTGCCTTTTAGGGAGACATATTCTTAAATGAATCTAATAGGCTAGTATCCATTTGCCAATTCTTCCCCTCAACATAAGGTTCCTTGTGTTTCAAGTGTCGAGTATCTGGTTCTAGATAACAATATATTAACCAAAACTATGGTTCCAATTACCAAGACAGTTGTAGGCAAAAGATGTATCTTAATTTCCTTACAGCAAAATAACAATGCAAGGCACAGTTTTCTATAGCTGAGTATTACATTCACAAAATTTAAAACCTACTGGTAATAAACAGCTTTCTCCTTGGCCTTTTCATTATCTTGGGCTAAGAATAGCTCCAATGAATCCTCTGCTGCAGCTTGTAATTAACTTCAAGGGCTTCTCACCCTTTTGGTGGCATCAGCATGGAGGGTTGGCCAAGTAGGCTTTGATTTCCTTCGAAAGTAATTTGATGCTCTGCTGTCACACAAATTACTTCTTCCATCTTTTTAGCCTTAAAAGGAAGACAAGACTTTTAGTTTTCCCTTGTAGTGTTAGAAATGAATCTTCAAGAAAATTAACTTGTCTAGGAACTTTTGTAATTCTTTCTACTTGATGGAGGTCTGGCTTCATGATGGGTTTGGCTTTATTCTGGTCATCTGTATTCATTCTTGTGTACACATAAGCCCAAGAAGTTCCAGATGATACGCCAAAAAGCAACATTAAAGAGGATTGAGTTTCAATATAGACTCTTTCTCATTCTTTCAAAGCTACTTTTTCGAGTGCCTCCATGGATTGGGATTTCACTACCGTGTCATCATATAACATTTTAAATAGCCTCCAATGGGTCATGAAAGATAGTGATTCCATAGCCCTCTGATTGTAGCTCCAGCATTCTTCAAGCAAAGGCATTTTAACCCAATCGAAGGTGTTATTGGATGTGTATGTCTTGTGAACATCTTCCTTCTGCTAATGATTTAGTTTATAACCAGAGTGTTCGCATCCATCATTGTAAAATTTGATGCCCTGCCAAACTGTCTACCAACAAATTCCACTCTAGGCATAGGATACTCACTTTCTGGGGTTGCTAGATTTAAGTTTCTGAAATCGTGCATACCCTAATTTTACCAATTTTTTCTTAACTACAGCACAATATTGGAATAGCCATTCAACATACCTGGTTGCTCCTAATAAAGCCTGCCTTGAGTAGTCTAAGAATTTCTCCTTAAATTTCTCTGAATTACTTCTGACACATCATTCTTCTTGGTTTTTTGCTTGTAGGGATTGAAGTTAAGCCTCTAGGAAAGCCTAATGTTCCACTAATGATCTATAAATCCTGGTAGTTCATCATAAGACCATGCAAAACAATCTTTATATTTTTTCAGAACGACAACAACTGGTCCTGCAAAAGCATTCAAACAAGCACTATATAGATGGCTTTTGTATGAACCTCCCTAATTACTTCTTCCTAAGGGGTCTTATATCTGAGAACTTACTGAACCTCCTTCTTTTGATCCTCTGGTTTCGAAAAGCAATCCTATTGCTTTGTTCTGCTCCCAGTTCTTTGATTCAACATCTTTGCCCTCCTCCTTATAGATAAAGTATGTCCATAAGGCTTTTTTCTTCCTGTATCTCCTGGACTTTTTGTTTCAATGTCCAATGCACAATATTTTATCAAAAGGCCAAATCTCGGCCCTGTTGTTGCTTCTGCTTGCAGCCATTATCATGGCTTCTTGCTCTTGCCTTGCACTTTCTGGACTATTGATTTTTACATCCAATATTGGAAAACTTATTAGAGGTCCAAAGCCTTGGCTTCTTGTGCTTCATCTCTTTGCTTACAACTGCAGACACCCATTTTTGACTGTCCTCAAGATTGGACGTCACCGTTGGAACACACTTGGTGATTACCTTGTTTGTGTTCGTTGGAGTTCCCGAGGGTCTCGGCTACGCGCCTTGCTCAGGATCCCCGAATTGACTGTTTAGTGTCTGGTTTTGGCACCAACCAACTTGTGGTTTTGCCTGGAGGGGCAGGGAATGCGCTTGTGGGCATCCCACACATCACCGGCTATGGCCAGAGGCCACCGCTAGTGTTTTGCTGGCATCGGCAATCTAATATTGCCCGGTCCGGCATTTTTGGTTGCGGTCGGCACTACCTTTTGCCAAAATGGCATTTTTTGGCAGCCGACTCTGTTCATCTTGCTTTTGCAGATATTTTAATCAGCTGTCTTGCATTTGGCTCCCCTCCATACACGTTTATGAGGGATCTTCTCTTTAGAAGCTTGGTCTTGTAAGCTTTACAGACAAGAAGCTCTATAAGAGGAGCCCTTCTCTCCCTTGCTTAAGGGTTAGACCTTTAGAGCTTTTAGCACAGCCATATTGGGTTTGAGTTCTAGGGTTAAGGATTGATAACATTCTATCCTGTATCTCCCTCTTGTGTGTGTTTAAGTGGTTTGTGTCTTACTATTGC